TGTTGTATCCTAACGTACCAGGATCAGCCGTGGTTTATTCGTTTCCAACTATCCGAAGTAGTGTGATAGTTGTGGTTATTTCGTTGATCCAATTACCCGAAGTAGTGTGGTAATTGAGGATAGAATTAGTAAAGAATCAGTACAGAAGAACCCAAGACAAGTAACAAAGAAGACTTACCTACGGACACCCAAATCACTCGCCAAATCTAACACGCCTCTAACGACTAAGCCGCCCGTAGGTCCAGTAGATTAGTGTTGTTGAATATCGAGAGACAAGGACCGACCAATCACAACATATATTATATTTATGTTAAGTGTAAATTATAGTTAACAGTTAAATAAATGCAAGAAAAATTACGTAGATTGAAATTCTAGCATTAAGCATATACCGATATAACTAATATTATTATACTTTTTTTTTTTTTTTAAGGTTAATTTAATTTAAAAATATATATATATATATATATATTTATTTATTTATACCACGTATGATGATACTTTTTTTTTTTAAGGTTAATTTAAAAAAAAAAAAAAATTTGACGTTTGGAATTTTTTCAAAACTTTAAACGAAGGTATTTCAACAGTTTTCTGAATTTTGTTAGATAGCTGTTGAGATATCTTCGTTCAAAGTTCTAGTAAATTTCGGTGTAGTTGTTTTGATAGACGTTTTGAATTTTTTCAAAACTTTGAGCGAAGATATCTCAACAATTATCTAATCAAATTCGATGAACTTTTTTTGTTTAAATTCTACGAATTTGTAGAATTAAAATAAAAAAAGTTCGAATTTGGTTAGATGACTGTTGAGATATCTTCGCTCAAAGTTTTAAATTTTTTTTTTTTTTAAATCTAGAGGGTACGAATAACAAAATTGAGTGTGGATTTGGGACTGGCCCAAATTAATTTGGGGCCTATCGCTATGTATATTTACTGTATATTCGGTATTTTAAAATAGGCGACTATTCATTGGGGGTACTTTATGCAGTGCTAATTTTAATTATCGTAACACGTCAAGAAAAAGCCGTATTTAATAAAAATTTTAATTATAATTCAATTCCGCATTTGATACGGAATTGAGCAGGTAAGAAGAGAAATCAAGACCAAATGAGTAATTAATCAGTTGTAAAGCACATGCTTTATTTCACGCAATTCGCCTTGGACCTATATCGACTGGCTGTTAATGGTAACGACATGGAATCTTTTCATTTTCAAAAACAAAGTCAAAAGGTACAAAAAAAAACGATGTGCCCTGGGCAGCAATATTCCTCGTGCTGTTTTTACTTGTATTCTACTCGAAGCGTCAAAACCATTAAACCTATACAATAACCTAGCCTTATATCGACCTGGCTGTTAAAGGTAACGACATGGAGTCTTTTCATTTTCAAAGTGGTAGGCCGCATGCAATTAATCAAGCTAGACAAAAACTCGAAGAAAATTTAGAGTCTATCCAAGAGCTATCATAAAATGAAAGTTCATTTCTTTCCCACTAAGACTTAAAAATAAGCAACTTGATAGTAAAAATACTGAAGTATTTTTATTTTCTAAGTGGTGGTGGGCCACATACAATTAATCAAGCTAACAAAATTTAGAGTCTATCCAAGAGCTATCATAAAATAGAAGTTCATTCCTTTCCCACCAAGACTTAAAAATAATTAATCAAGCTAGACAAAAGCTCGAAGAAAATTTAGAGTCTATCCAAGAGCTATCATAAAATGGAAGTTCATTCCTTTCCCACCAAGACTTAAAAATAAGCAACTTGATGGTATAAATACTGAAGTATTTTCATTTTCCAAGTGGTGGGCCGCATGCAATTAATCAGGCTAGCAAAACTCGAAGAAAATTTAGAGTCTATCCAAAAAATATCATAAAATAGAAGTTCATTCCTTTCCCATCAAGATTTAAAAATAAGCAACTTGATGGTAAAAATACTGAAGTCTTTTCATTTTCAAAGTGGTGAGCCGCCTGCAAGACAAAAACAATAAAAATTTAGAGTTTATCAAAGAGCTATCATAAAATAAAAGTTCATCAATACCTAAAATAAGCAACTTAATGGTAAAAACACCGAAGAATACCTAACTAATGACGGATATGAAAATTATAGACAGTTAAATATTATTGCCCGTGCAATACCTATTAATAAGGATTTGGCAAATTTATGGAAGGGAAATTGGATATTATGATATCGTAGATGATGTAAATGATCTAGTAATTCAAGGTGCATTATTATTGTTATTTCCGTCGTTTCTGGCCAAAAGTTGGTTATGTAATGTCAAACATTAATGAAATCATTAAGAGGATTAATTTAAGGTTTAGGCCAACAAAATACAATCATACTTGATATACTCCAGCTTTTCGAGAATTGGCTTAGTCAAATTGGAGAAAGAATTATTCACGCTTTCATTTCTGCTCATAAAGATGAGAATCAAGACGAATTCTACAAAAATAGTTATCGAGTTATTAAGCAAAGAGGAGTATAAAAAAGAAAAAAATTAGAGTTTTTCGACTTTTTAAATAAAATAATTGGAAATAGAAGTGGTTCTATTTTCATTGATGCGATGTAGCAATTTAAAGAAAAAATACCATACGATATTGAGGAATAAAAGAATCAAACAAGATAGAACATCATTCCCAACTCCAGACTAGCAATTTCATGATTATTGATTCTGAAGTCAATAAATCTCTTGTTCCTATGAATTCAGAAGCCAATTACATCTGATTTCAAAGTTTTAGCATTCGATATAACCTTTTATAACTGGATAATGGTTAAATTTATAGGTGTCTCTGAAATTATTAATTTGCTATTTAAGGATAATGGCAGGAATTTCTTTTTAGCTTCACTTCTCAAACTACTTAAGAAAGCTTCTCACGATGATATTCTTGATCCACTATTTGAGTTCTCTCAACCACTTTTAAGATGCCTATGCAAATTTCGGATGATACGAATATATATTTTAAGCTAAAAGGTAAAAGGGAATATTAAAAGAAGAAGAAAGATTAGAATGGATTCTTGCTAATTTTCATAGAAAAAGGAATTTTTAATAGAATATATAAATTGTATTGAAAATTTATTATAAACTTAAACGTGAAATAAATTTTAAATAAATAGAAATTTAAAGTCAAAAAAGGATTGGAGAAAATTGTAAATATTTTATTTAATAAATATGGATAAAATGGAATAAAAAATTTTCTTTAAATTTAACGATTGAATATATGATTATTAAAACAAGTCATTAGATTTTATTTTATTTTATTTATTTATCTAAGAAAAGAGTTGGGTTAGAGTTGCAAACCGTATCATTACTGTATTAGCCTTCCTGTAAATTTTCAAAATATGGTGGAAACTTTTGATATTTCGTAAAAAATTTTAATCACATTACGGTTATATACCGGTATCTGGGTCACTCTTATTATTTTATTATACGGTATTATGATTTTAGTTTTTATAAAAGTCTATGTGAGGCTGATGTGACGGAAGATGACTCTAGTCGAGCAGCTTTCTAAATGACACTCAAGACACGTTAGTGTCAAAGTAGCACTGTTATACTGACACTGAGAAATGTCCAATTCATTGAAGATAATAATTATCAATCGTCACAATAGATTGAAGCGTACATGTTATTGCTATAAATTATACTGTAGCTATCACGTGAGATTTATTAATCGCCAAAAGTTAAACACGTAAAAATTTAAGAGCCAAGCCTCAAAAATTATATAAATGATTAATGATAGAAGGTAAAATAAACTGGGTACAGGCGTAATATGAACGACATTAGCTCTGTAACACAAATAATAAATGGGTGAGTAGCAAAACCATATGTAATACATATACTCTAAGCATGGTTTTGCTGTGTACTCACCCAAATATGGCATATAGATAATATAGAGTAACGATAATGTTTACTAAAATACGTTAAAAGATAAATACAAGTACAGTACAAGCACAAGTACAGTATAAGTACAGTACAAGCACAAGTACAGTACAAGCACAAGCACAGTACAAGTACAAGTACATATAAAACATTTTGATGAAAGATCGAGATCTCCTTTTTGGTTAAAACTGGCAAAGTGGCTCACGAGGATACACGAAAACACATACTACTTAAAATGTATTGACTCGGGCAAATTTGGAAGTAACCAGAAAACATAATATCTTATAGGTGTTAAATTAGACATTCGGAGGTTTTTTTTTTTTTAAAAAAAAAATATATACACCTTTTCTCACCTTCATCACATTAATTAAACAATACACATTAATGTCATCACTAGTGATTAAAATTAATTCTCGAAATAAGGATCAATTCTAGATTCAATTAACGATTATGATAAATCAATTATTATAGAATTGATTCCTACCCCTACTGGAATATGATACTTTTTAATTTGATCGAGCTCATTGTCTTATCCACACAATTATATAGATTGGGTTTCATTTTTTGTCGCAGTTCTCAGGCTATAGTCTATGGACTTTAACTTGACAGAATTGCTATCGATTTTAAACCGATTTGCGCATGAAATTTGTTTTTCCACTACAGATGCAAAAATTTAAAATAGTATCCCCAAAAGATGGATCATTAACTTGGTAGTGCAGCGTGTTTAATTTTGACCTTAGTTTTTGCACGCTTTTTCCATTAAAAATATGTTGCAAATTTTTTGCTAGAAGAGTATTAATATTGCAAGATCAATTTGATTTGTAAAGACCTTGATTTTATGCATAAAATTTTTTTCTCTCTACAAATCTATTAAAGTATAAATTTGTTCTGGAAAAGTATAAACCTAAAGATGGATATGAAAATAACTATTAACTTAGTAGTTCTGTAAAGACATTAATTTTACAAACGAAAATTGATTGTGCTTTTACGCTATAATAATCAAGCAAATAGTTGTTAGAAGAGCTGAAATTGGCATAATTTTGATAATATTTTAAGCGTAAACCTCAATTTTGTGCACTAAAATTTTGCCTTTTCATTTCGACAACTGGAATATTTAATATACAAATCATATTACTAATTATCTAAAGAACTATTCCAAAGCTATGTCCGATTCTGATCTATTCATTACCTTTTACGCTTAAGGAGTTAATTTGCTAGCTTTATATGCGTCAGTTCAAGAACGGCAAAACCATCTGGATGGAGCCTTTCGTGCAGTGGCATTTCCCATAAATAGTTTGCTCACTTAAAAAATTCACAAAAGGAAGTTAATTATAACGCTTTGCAAAAAGTTGATAGTGAGAACAGGCGATTTGGTCACCGGGACCAACTGATCTTATTTCTAATAAGCAACTGGACGACCATATCGAAAGAGGCAGTTATATTTGGCAGGTAGATTTCTAAAGCTTAGGTCGCCTTTCCTACTACTAAGAGACGGGTTAATTATCACTTCGGGGGGTACGGTAATAATGGATTAATATATGGTGCTTCACGAAGATAATTCTACTATGCCACTTAGTAAAATATCGGGAGGTGGGAGTAATTAAGAAAATTATGAGTTAGGTAGTAGGACTTATGTAATAAAGAACTCAATTGTTTATAAAAGCGAACTTGAGAGAGTTGTTTCCTCTATGGGCCTACACGACCTTTATTTATTGTTAGAGGCAAACGTGACCTAGTTGTAGGCATGTGATAACGTGACCACGACCCGAAACAAGCCATGACCCGGACCAAACTAAGCTTCAAACCCAAGACCTCTAATCGGCATATGATAGAAGCATTAATCAAATGCTATCTTGGGTTTGGCTCAATGCAAAGCTCTGTTGAAAGTCGCATGATACCTCTGGATTTAGATAGTGGGAGTTTAGCCATTATAACTTGCAGATTTTCCCTTCCTAATATTCAATTTAGTCATATTGTGTAAAAAACCATATGTACTTTTTCTGGTATAAAAAGTCTTGTCGTTCACTTGAAATAAAAGCAGTGATCATGTTAATAAAATACAAGTATTGTTATTACCTTGAAGTTTAATAAACTGAAGTCCAGTACTGTTCCATACAACATACCTTAAACAAGCTTTACCTTGCTAAATTGAATTTGCT